CATGCATGCCCAAGATCCTGAGAGGAGAATGGAGGAGAAGGGATTGCAGCATGGCCATCCCCTGGGGAATAATTTCTCACTTTCTGTCTCTCTGTCCCTCTCTGCCTTTCTGGCGAGTGCACGTGCCCTACAGCAAAAACCTCTCCAAAAAAGAAGAAAGAATAAATTTTTGAGTGTATGAATTCTCAAAAAATAACTGTTCATTATACTATTTAGCGGCCTTTATCAAAAGGAGCCACATGATAACAGCTTAACAAAAGATCTAAAAACATTAATTTCTGATCATCTAAGAAGATAAAATTAATGTTAAAAAAACTACAGAAAAAATAATTTCTCCCTTAGATTTTCTGTCTCTGAAATGTTAACTCTCAACCAACCACTAGTAAAATGCTAAGTTCAAATCATTTTATGTTTAAATTTTCTAAAATACTGGTTTGTTTTGTTATATGCTTCACATAAGATACAGATGTAGGGGGTGATACCAGCAAGTGGTAAAATAGGAAATCCAGAATCCTTCCTTCTCTTATTGAGACATTAAATTAACCATACATGGACCAACTCCTGTTGTTAGAAATCTGGAAACTGGTTAAGAGGTTCAAAACCACAGTGAGTTATCACCACTTACCTGTTAGGATGGCCATTATCAAAAAAGTGGGAAAAAATGCTGGTTAGGATTTGGAGAAATTGGAACCCTTGTGCACTATTGGCAGAAATGTAAAATGGTGCTTTCATTATGGAAAACATAATAGAGGTTCTTCCAAAAACTTAAAATAGAACTACTATACAGTATAGCAATCCAATTCTGGGCATATATACAAAAAAATTGAAAACAAAATCTCAGAGATTAGGGCTGGCCCTGAGCACAGCAGTTAGGCACTGTATGGAGGGAAGCTGGATCCCACATAGGCAACTGAGTAATGATAAGTATTTCAAATATGCTTAATATGAGCCATCTGTGTTTTTACTTTAAAAATTTATCTGTGAAGTGCAAGAGGAAAAAACATTTGAGGACAGAAAAATGTAAAAAAAAATGCTTTAATAATTCCTTGAAAAATAATCATAATAATAATAGTACTAGTCATCACAGAGGCCAAGATGTTTCCCAAATTTGTTTATTACTATGTGTCAGAATCTCTCCTAGGAAATCTAGACTCTTTATGTCTTTCACTGACTAGGGGAAAAAAATCTTTCAGTTCAATTGTACAGATAATAAAATAGATAAATAAAGTAAGAGTAAGGTAGTTCTAAGTTCTTTCTAAAGTAGTTCTCTAAAAAAAAATTCATATTGCAAATAGTTTTTAAAAGGCAGAGTTTAAGAAAAAAATCTGTAATAATATTTATTTTGTGGTCTCTGCCTCTCCTAGCTACAAGTAACTAGCCTGTGGTGTAGACATAGTCAAGGAAAACTCACATATAAACTAGCCAGAATTTAAATAGCCTACCTCAAAACTTTGAGTTAAAAACTTAGATAAAATTAATTTTTAAAATTGTGTCAAAAATTGAATAAATGATATGCACTGGAGATATGTCTCACCAACTGTAACTCTATGTAAGTCAAAATTTAAAGGGAGTCAAAATTATGATTCTGTTTTCTGTGAGTTTCCTCAACTCATGAATAGAACAATAAAACTTTAGTTCTGAACATTCATCTTGCCATGTATCTTAAAACACTCTAGGGCCAGCCCTGTGGCTTAGCAGTTAAGGGAGCATGGTCCTACAAGTCCAACCATGACTTGAATCCCAGCTCTGGTGGCTTGAAAAACACACCAGGTATGTGTGTGTGTGCACATGTGGGTGTGTGTGTGTCCAAAATTCTGACAGGATGGAGAAATGGAGAAGAAAGAATTGTGATGTGACCATACTCATTGGGGAGTATTTTCTCCCTCTAGCTCTCTGTCTCTCCATCTCTCCTTGGCAAGCACATGCATCCTCTAGAATTTTTTTGAGAGATTTTTGCTATAGGGCACATATGCTCACCAGAGAGACAGAGATAGAGAAACAAGAAAAGCAACCCCAGGGAGAATGATCATGCCACAATCGCTTCTCTTCCATTCTCCTCTCAGGATTTTTAGTACACATTCATACACGTCCAGAGAGTTTAAAGCCACCTGTTCTGGGACTTTAACCATGATCATAGGTGTGGGAGTCCAGTGACATGACCGTTATGCCATCTGCTGGGCCCTTCTCTGGCAATATTAAAGAAAAGACACAGACCTATTAAAATACATTTAAGTCATCATATGATACATACATGTTTTCCACAAGTAATTTTATAGTTTGAAGCTTTACATTTAGATCTTTGATCCACTTTGAGTTGATGGGTGCATGCACTCTCCAGAGAGAGATGGTGGGAGAGAGGGGGAAAGTGAGAAATCACCCATTGAGGGGATAGCCATACTGCAATGTTTCCCCTACATTCTCTTGAGATTTTGAGTGAGCATACACATATATTCCATGAATTTTCCAAGCCACAGGATTAGAGACTTGAACTGGGCAATCAGCCACATGGGATCCAGAGCCTCAACTACCCTGCTACCTGTTGGCCCCCATTTTGAGTTTATTTTTAATGGTGAGAGATAGGGGTCCAGTTTTATTTTCTGAAGGTTGATATCCAGTTCTTCCAGCACCACTTGCTAAAGATTCTTTCCTTACTGGATTCTTTTGTGCCCTTTGTTAAAAACCAGTGGGCTGCATGTTTTGGGATTAATGTCTGGATTCTATATATTGTTAAATGGTCTATGTGTCTATTTTTGTGCTCATACCATGCTGTTTTGATTGACACAGCTCTGTAATATATTTTGAGGTCAGGTAGTGAGAGGTCTCCTACTTTAATTTTTTGCACAGTAGTGCATTGGCAGTGTGGGGCCTTTTATGATTCTAGTCAAATTTTATAATAGTTTTTTATATTTCTGTGAAGAATGTCACCAGTAACTTGATAGGAATTTCATTGAATTTGTAAATTGATCTTGGCATGATTGACATTTTGATTATGTTGATTCTTTGAACCCAAAAACATGGAATGTCTTTCTACCTTTTTCAGTTTTTTATAGTTTTCCTTGTAGAGGTCTTTCACCTCCTGTCTCCTCTATACTTATTTAGATGAGATTTTTAATCATGAAGGGATGTTGTGTTTTATTAAATAATTTGTCTGAATCAGTTGATATGATCATGTGGTTTTTTAATCTTCCCTTTCATTAGTGTGATGATATTTATAAACTCCTTGTGGAAAACACTTGAAAATATTGGAGTAGGCAAAAATTTCTTACATAAGACCAGTAAAGAGCAGGCAACAATTCCAAAAGTAGACAAGTGGGATTACATCAAGTTATAATGCTTCTGCACAGCAAAGGAAACAATAATTAGAGTGAAGAGACAATCCTCAAAATGGGATAAAACACTTGCAAGCTATGCTTCAGATAAGGGATTTATAATCAGAATATATAGGGAACTCAAGCAGTTCACCCACAAAAAAATGAATAATCCAATAAAAATTAATTGAATTTAAAAAAGAGTTGAATAGACAACACTTTAAGGATGACATATAAATGGACAAAATGCATATGAATAGAATGTTTAACCTCTCTCAACATAAGGGAAATGCAAATCAAAATCACAATTAGATACCATCTTACCCCAAGAGGAAGACTTTGACCAAGAAAATAAAGAATGACAAGTGCTCATGAGGACGTGGTGAAAAGACTTGGAAGCAACCTAAGTGCCCAAGAACTGATGACTAGATTGGAAAAAATATGGCACATGTACATTATGGAATGTTACTGAGCCATAATAAACAATTAAATCCTGTCATCTGATATAAAATGGCTGAATATAGAAGATTTAATGTTAAGCAAAGTAAGCCAGACTATGTATATCTCACTCAATATATATCAAACGTCTGCATGCACACACACACATACATATACATTTTCCATTGACTTTGGAAATACACAGTAATCCTACTAATACTTAAAAATTGAGACAGTTCATCTTCTTTAATTATAGGGCTTCTTTTACTTTTTATTTTCTTTTAAATATGTAAATCAATACTGGTAATGAGTGGTATGAGAATGGCAAAGCCTGGGAAAAGGGTAACAAACTTTATGGAATAGATTTTGGTAAACTTAATAATTTTATATATTTAAGTAAAAAACAAAATTAAGAGCAGTATTAGTGGAAATATAAAAAACACAAAGTGTAATTTCCTTTTATTAAGGAGATATCATTCATATGATTTAAAGAAAAATACGCACCTTTAAAAATACTAATATATATTCCCAGATTTGTCAAATTTAAGACTGATTATTCTGTGAATAGTATAGAAAGTTGGCTGAAGCATGAACTTTTAAATAATGATAAAAACAACTGTAACATATTTCTTCTTTACTGGGACAAGGGTGCCATATCATGCTTGAAGTAAATTTAATGTCCAAATGGTATACATTTTGCCTAGTTTATAGAGGAATAATATCCACACTATTTAAAATTCTAAAAATTAGGTTTCTAAATTTTAACACTGTATGACATTCCTCTCTCTCTCTCTCTGGAAATGAATATAGTGCCCATTGGAAAGATACCAAACCTCTCTAAGCTCCACGTTCCTCAACTATAAAATGTTGAAATAGTCTATGAGGATTTAGTGAGAACATGCAGTATTCGTATGGAACATGAAAACAACAGTGTGTGAACTTTTCCACTCTAGCTATCTTATTTACTTGTTCACCTGATAGGCTAAAAATAATAATGATTTTATTAATATTAGTTTAACATACAGACTGTGCTTTTAGCACTTGAAAATATATATATTCTAGTTTAAGTGGAATCCTTAGAAAGTTAAAATTGTATCTTAGCTCTCTTGTATGCCATTTCTGTCCAAAATGTCCCTCTCAAATGTCACCAGCTACATATATCTCAAATTTCTGACCTATGCTTATGACAGATCTCTATCTATTGTGATGTCATCCAGTACTTTATGCCAATATTTCATAAGCTGTACAGTTAAAGGAGACAACCATTTGTGGAGTAAAGCCTATCACATGTTCAAACTATTTAACCAAAGGATTACAGCATGACTGCCTGTGATTTTCTTTCTTTATTGCTGCATTAAGTAGCAATGAGTAAATCTTCTAAATTATGCCGTAAGACTGCTTGCCCACGAAGCAATATATTCTGTAATCTCATTGACAAAATTGTTAAAAGACCCTCCTTGCAGTTTTTGGGTCAGTGGGGATATCACTGCTACGAACCTAGAATTTACAGAACACTGGCAAAAATTCTGACATATGTCGACCTGGATGGGTTTGACAGACTACTCACAGATTACATTGCATTTGTGGAAAAATCAGGATACCGTTTTGAACTAAATTTTAACCTCGAATTTACTGAAATATGTGTGAATACAATCCTGTATTGGGTTTTTGCCAGAAAAGGTAATCCTGACTTTGTGGAATTGCTTCTCAAGAAAACAAAAGACTATGTTCAAGACAGAAGTTGTAACTTGGCACTGATATGGAGGTAATAATATCTTATGTTTTCACCATAGAAGTAGAAAAGTTATCTTTAGGAAATTATAATATATTTTCTAAAATTAATATACATAGTGGCTATATATGGATAAGGAATTTTTACTTAATTGTTCATTTGCTCACTCATTAATTCCTTCATTATGTATTCAATGTTTTTACCTATGTATACATTATTATGTACCAGTAAATTACTAATGGTTCTACTCTATACAGTTCACATGTTAATGCTCATGGTAATACAATGTTAGGAAACAAGTTTCTCTAAGCAGAAAAAGACACCGTTCTGTGTAATACCATGGTCACTTCTTTTTGAGCATACTGAGACCATATATATTTTTTTCTGAGAACATTTTTTAATATTTTCTTTTGTTTTAATTTCTTTTATACATTCAATCACTATACATCACTTAGCTTATAAAGTGAATTCTCCCAACATGAATACACTTCACACTAGTCCAGTTGGGGATACTATACACATTATCATTGACAATTAATAATCTATTTCTGTGTTCCATAAATGTCTTGCCTCTCTATTTTTCTCCTTAGTATCTTTCCTCACACACTTCCCATTTTCCCACCCTCTTCCCACACTGTAGCCAGTACCTGTAACCATTTTCCATGTTTCTATATCCTCTAATCTCTCCATTTCTATCATAGAGTACAGTCTGTTTATATTAAGTGGAGACATACAATGTCTCTCTTTCACAGCCTGGCTTGCTTCATTCAGCAGTAAATCTTCCATATTCATCCACTTTCTATTAAAAGTCAGGGTCTTGTTTTTTTTTTCATGGCTGAGTAGTATTCTACAGAGTATATATGTGACTTTTTCAGTCCATTTATCTGTTCATGTACATTTGGGTTGATTCCATGTCTTAGCAATTGTGAATAATGACACAATAAACATAGATGTGCAAGCACTCCCTGATTTCCTTCTCTGTACTCTTCCCTTCTCTCACTCTTCTTCCACACTGTCTCCAGCGTCCATAATCATGTTCAATGTTTTATGTCCTCCAGTCTTTCAATCTCTAGCATAGAGTGCAAACAGTCAGTATATATTAAGTGGAGACATACAATATCTTTCTTTCATAGTCTGGCTTGCTTCACTGAGAAATAAATCTTACATATTTAACCACTTTCTATCAAATGTCAGGGTCTGTTTTTTATGACTGAACAGGATTCCTTAGAGTATATGTGCCACATTTTTTCAATTCACTCATCTGTTTGTAGACATTAGAGTTTATTTCTTATCTTAGTAATTTGTGAATAATGCCACAATAAGCATTGATGTGCAAGAATTTTTTCAACTGAGCAATCTCTTGTCCTTTGGGTAGATATCCAGGAGTGAGACTGCTGGATCATATGGTAGTTCTATTTGTAGGTCTTTGAATAACCTCCATGTTGTTCTCCACAGTGCCTAGACCAATTCACATCCCCACCAACAGTGTAGGAGAATTCCCTTTTCACCACACTCCCACCAGCACTTATCATTTTTTTTAAATCTTAGTCATTCTGACTGGGGTTAGGTGGTATCTCATTGTGGTTTTAATCTGCATCTCCCTTATGATGAGCAATGTTGAGCATTTTCTCAGACGCTTTTTGGCTGTTCGTATGTCTTCCTTAGGGAGCTTTTTGTTCAGCTCATTTTTCCATCTTTTAATTGGGTTCATTATTTTTTTCAGGTAAGTAGCTTGAGTTTCCAGTGTATTCTGGTTATCAGTCCCTTATCTGAAGCATAGTTTTAAAAAATATTCTCCCATTCCAAGGGTTGTTGATTCACACCAGTTACTGTGTCCTTTGCCATGCAGAAATTTCTTAAACTGATATAATCCCACTTGACTATTTTGGGGATTTTTGCCTGTGCTTTGGGAGTTCCCTACTCCAATGTCTCCGACAGTTTCCTCAGTGTTTTCTACCAGTAGTTTTATAGTTTGAGCCACAGTGAGTTGATTTTTGTCAATGGTAAGAGATGGGAGTCCAGATTTATCTTTCTGAAGATTATCACAGCTTTCTAATATATTTTGTCAGGGAGTGAGATGCTGCCCACTCCACTCTTCTTGCATAGGGCTGCTTTGCCAATATGAGGTATTTTATGATTCTAGACAAATTCTGTGATTGTCTTCTAGATCTGTGAAGAATGCCTCAGGTAATTGGATTGGAATTGTGTTAAATATGTAAATTAATTTGGGTAGAACTACCATTTTGATTATATTAATTCTTCCAATTCAGGAACATAGGATGTCCTTCCAATTTTTGGTGTCATTTTCAATATCTTCTTTAAGATTTTCATAGTGTTCTTTGTAAAGGTCTTTGACTTCCTTAGTTAAGTTTATCCATAGGTATCTTATACATCTTGTAACTATGGTAAAAGGGAATCCTTTCTTCAGTTTTACCTTGGTCAACTTGTTCATATATAGAAATGCTGTAGATTTTTGGATATTGATTTTATACCCTGCCACTCTAATGTATTCATTTACTACTTCAAGTAGTTTTTTCATGGAAACCCTTGGGTCTTCTAAGTATACCATTACATCATCTGCAAATAAAAATATTTTCAACTCTTTGCCTTTAAAAAGGCCACTCCTTTTCAATATAGTGCTGGAAGTCTTAGCCAATGAAATCGGAAAAGAGAACAATATAAAAGGCATTCAAATACGCAAAGAAGAGTTCAAAATATCTTTATTTGAAAAGGAGACTCCTGTATTCATTTATTACTTCGAGAAGTTTTTTCATGGAAACCTTTTGGTCTTTTATATACATTCATGTCATCTGCAAATAGAGAATTTCACCATTTCTT